TCAGTCAGGAAAAATCACAAAAAACAAACAACGGTTATGATTATTTTAATACTTATTAGGAAGGTTTTTTTGCATTCCTCACAGATATTTGCTTCTGCAGGTGTTCAAGTTGGGCATGATACTACCTTACACATAACAGTTATTATTAACAATAATAGTTAATATTTTCCAAATAGAAATACAGATTTAATACTGCTATCAAAACTTAAAACTTTGATCTGGACTGTGTGTCTGTATCAGTGCAGTACAGACCAGAGGGACATGGTCTCTAAGGAATCTCAATAACCGTGCTTTAGATCAAAAGAACACTTGATGGGACATCAAAATTCTTGAGGGATACAAAATTAAAGCCCATGAATGAATACTCAAGTGTCAAAGAGGAAAACTGGATTAACCTCCTAAGACCCGATCTCTTCCATGACATGCATTATTAATTTCTCTTTGATATTTGGGCTGATTGGGACCTGATGAATGTAAAAACAAAGAATTACCAGATTTTTCTTTTTTACCTAATTTTTGCCACATATGAGGATATTCATTTAAAATTTCGATAGAAGACTAGCAGTATAGTGTCCTCGTAAGTGGATATCAGGCCCATGTAGAGCAAGATTTAGTATTTTGGTCTAAATAACCCGAAATGTGATGTCCACATATGTGGACGCCAGGTCCTAGGAGGTTAAATGTCAGATGTTTGAAGTCTGACTAAAACAGAAACATTTTCATGACTAAACTGAATCTTAAACCAAAGTCATATACCAAAAGTTTCAGTTTGGAAACGCATCTGTTTGTAGTTGTTCAGTAACTGAAGAGCCATTGTTGGTTATGACATAGCAGATTGTAAATCTAACATCAGAAAGATCTTTAAAACTTACAAGGTTAACCTGCAGTAATAATATGTCAAGATGGTAAAAAGAGAGAAAGAGAAAGAGAAAGATGAGTTGTGTCCATGAGGGGGGAAAAGGTACAGACATGACTGAAGAGGGTTCAGTGAAGACATATAGAGACAGTGACCAAGTGTAATAGAGAAAGAATAGAACAGCGCACATCACTGAGGATGTTTGTCAGCCATGGCTGCTCAGCAGGTGCCCTCATCAGACACAGGGCTCTTTCAGCTCTGTCCAGCATCAGTATGCATCACATCAGCCTAGTGCGCTCACTCCCTTACTCATCACTCCACACTCGCAACCCACAATACATCACTGGCTGGACAAAGCTGAAAGGATAGACAGACGGCCTGATAGCACAAGTCTAGAGAGTTGAGCTCAGGAATGTGGTCATACAACGCAAACCGTATGAAATGTCTCACTTATGTACAGATTAGAGATGGACCGATCCGATATTACGTATCAGTATCGGTATCGGTCCGATACTGACGTAAATTACTGGATCGGATATCGGAGAAAAATAAAAAATGTAATCCGATCCATTAAATATCA